GCAGCTGTTATTGGCATTCAAATGAATATGTAAACGTCGCATCTCGCAGATTGTTTTCGCTAAATCGAAACAATAAACAATGGCAGTGGTCACGATTTTACAATTTTCGAGGTGCAAAAGTCAGGCAGGTAGCACGTTTCTCATAATTTAAATGCCACTGCCATCTTTTAAGCGATGAGTCATTTGATAAGACATGCAAATTATGAGTTTTAAAGGGATATGGATATGAAATGGATATGGTTTTTTTTATGAAAGATATATTATACAATTTAAATTATTTTACATCAATTTTTTTTAAGGCAACTATTTTTTAAAAAATATTTGAAATAAATTTCGGTTATTAATAAAATTTGGGAATTTTTTTTTTAAATTTTATAAATTTTTCAATGAATATTTCTTTCTTTATCTTGTACCTTTTTTTCCCTCTCGGTTTCAAGGATCAATTTATTTATTTTGCCCACATTTTGATTTATTGCGCGGTTGCGAAGATAAACTGCAAATGAAAGTTAATGTTTATGCAGCCGCAGACAAATTGCCAGGTTAAATGCGAGCCTTGTCGTACGACAAGCATCGATTATGTCGAATTGTAACGTTAACAGCATCCTGTTTCCTGTCTTGCCAAAAGGAAGTTGGCCAACACAGACACACACACGCACACACTTACATGCCTGCGTGGGCAACCTCAATGTAGCATACTTTGCGGCGCGTTGATTCGTGTATGGCTGCTGGCATACAGCATACATAATTGATGTTTACTCTGAAGTAACCATACCAAACTACCACACACACACCCATTTACACACACCCTCATACTTCTGCGGCTGCGGAAGACTGGGCTACAACTTCCGCCACAACTTCCGCTCCGCTTTGAATGATTAGTTTTGGCCATGGAGCTGGAGCTTCTTCGTCCTCCTTCTGGCCATGAAATCAAACTAAGTGCTTGGGTCCAAAGTCCTTTATTTTTCAACTGTTACGGCTGGCTGAAACTCTCTATCTGGGTTGGTTTGTGTTTGTATAGTTTTCCCGCTCAAGGTTATGGTTTTGTCAACATCTCTGGAAAATTGCCGAGTGTGTGTGTATTTGTTCTATTTATTGATTCATCAAGGGGTTGGCCTTTGATTATAATTTACATAATGGCAACAAGTGGAAGGGAAAATTAGAATTGGATGTTTGTTTTAATTTTTAAATACATTTTATTTGATTTTATTTACCAATTAATTTTCTAATTATTGTAATCTATTTTATTTTTATTCATACAGTTTTCAAGAAAACGAAACATATTCTAATATAATTTTAAATTGGATGTTTGCTTTATTTACTACTAAATATATTTTATTTTTTTTTTTTTTGACGATATTTTCAAAAGTAATTTTCTGTTTATTTTAAACTATTTAATTATAATTTTTAATATTTTCAACAGAAAAGATAAACACATTTTAACATACTTGTTAATCCCTAGTACTTTTGTTAGTTTTTTCGTATTTTCGTTCACATCTTAAGTATTACAAAACTAATGTCTAGTTTATTTCTAGCGAATGGCCAATTCCGCAATTGTTTTTTCTATTTTCAGTTGAAATATTTTAAGCCAACTAATTCTGGGCAATTTCTCGCCTGTTCAATTGTTCTATTCGATTCATTAATTTTCGCTTTGAAGCAGCGGTTTCCTTTTCATTCTCGGTTCCTTTGTCAATTCAATTGTTTTGTCATTGCCTCTCGGCAGCAGAAGCAACAGCGGCAGTAGCATTGCGCATACGCCCAGTTGACAAATTGTAATGGCCAAGGCGGCGTTGTTACCGCCGGGTAGAAGATAAGTGGGCGGGGCAAGAGGCGAAGGGCGGTGGGCGGTGGGGTGAAGGGTGAAGGACAGAGGACGGAGGAGACTCGGGGTGGAGATGTCTTGGCCAAGAGAAACCAGTTGCATTCGCTTGCGCTGCTGGCGCGAAAATAGAATTTGGCAATGGCTTTGGTTGGTGGCTCCCTCGTCCTCGTCCGCCGTCCGTCCGTTTATCCCAACTCAAAAAGCATGTGCCTGCGTGTGGACAACATGTCGCGCCACCGCACACAGAGCCAGAACACAAACGCAAAGATTGGGGCAGGCATTAAAAGTACACTGAAAAGAAAAGAGAAAAAAATTAAAAAATTTAATTTAATTTAAACAATAATATTAAAAATAATAAAAAATGTTATTTATGTATATTCTTAGTTTAAACATTTTATAAAATAACACAAATATTTTCATGTATATTTTTAAGCTTAATCAAATGCTATTCATTAAAATTAAAAAAACAATGGTTTTCAAAGCAACAAACTCTCATTTACGAACTTAGTACGAACCTAGGACCTTTTTCCAAATTGTAGGTCGTTTTTTGGACTTTAATATTAAACTGTTTTTGTTTTTGGTTCAACCTCCAAATTTTAATGGGCCCTATTTTATAGTATTAGATTGATATGAATTTTTATTTTAATATACTAAATAAGTAGGGATTTAAATGAAAATATACTGAAGTCAGGTCAATGTTATCTCATTTTTCCTGTGTATCCTGCTGCTGGGCAGCATGTTGTTGCTGCTCGGTTGGCTGGCTGGTATGTTTGTTTTGTTTGTTTGTTTGCTCGCCTGTTGCTGCCGTTGCCATCGCTTTTCCTGCCGCTTTTCTTTGGCTCTGGCGCTCGCCTTAATGACCAATAAATGTCGCAGCGAATGCAAATGCAGCACACAGCACAGCTCCTCGGCACAGTTATCCATTTATTTGCGTAGCAATTTTAAATTTAGTTTAGATAAACAAACAAGTAAAACGGAAAGTGTGACATGTTTTGCAGCCCACGCAGAGTGTTAGGAAAAGATATTTGGAGGCGACCTAAAAATGCGACAATTGCGACGAAAGTTCGCGTCTAAATATTCTAATTCTCATTCTAAAAATATCAAAATTCGGGAAAACGACAATGTAAGCAAACCTTTTTAAGCCAAGCCAAAAATTAGAATCAAAGGAAGAGGAAACCGAAATTAGTGCCAGAAATAGGTGGACATTTGACAAGTGCATGTCAGTCAGCAAAGAGTTTTTGGTTTTTTGGGTGGATACTTATTTTTAACCGACAATCACGGTCTAAAATAGTCGCCAGATATCGCCGAATATTGCATAATGTTGAGGCGTGTCTGGGAATGTCGCTTTCGCATGATGCAATGTCGCCGTTTGCCAAGATTTTCGGCGCAATTTCGCCATTCGCAGTTCGCCCAGTTCGTCGCATTACTGTCGCCACCAGTTACGTACGAGTAAGTGCAGCTGAGTGCGCCCAGTGATTCGGCAAATTGCAATTATACATTTTGTAATCTATGTATATCCCATATCCCTGCCATGCCTGCTGTCTCTGCTGAGGCAATTCCCAAGCCAAAAAGTGCCGCAAAATCACATCAGCATAGAAAACTTAGAGCCCCAACAGCTCAGCGGCCGAACAGCCCCAGCGAATAGAAAAGAATTTGAAAAATAAATACCAAGTACGCGCTTTGCTATGTTTTCTATGCGGGGGCGATCGTGGGGAATGGGGATTGGGCCAACAAACTAGGTTACTTGGCAGTGTTTAGCATAAATAACTAGCACACACCAGTGGCCACAGCGACAGCACAGCAAAAGCAACAGAGAAACATCATCGGAAAAGCCACATTAAAATAAATAAATGTGAGTGTGGCAGAGAGAACCGGATAATGGGGTTGTAGAATGGAAAATCAAATTAACACTGCGTTTTAAAACATTGCAAATTAATGAATTGGGTTGGCTTTAACTATTAAATGTGGGTGGAATTTAAATCCCACAAAGGATTTGTGTCATATAAATGCAAAAATAGCTCACTACTTCATTAGCAAAATTAATTTGATATTTATGCATTATTTTAAATATATTTGTGGATTTAAATTATATTATTTATGAGGTGTGTAAAAAGTTTAACAAGAAAAAATGGATTCATTTTTTTGTGTAACACATATGAAATACAAGAGAGAACGCTATAGTCGGGTTGTTGTCCCGACTATCTAATACCCGTCACTCAGCTAAAGGGAGTGCGAACGCTGTGTCGGGTTGGTGTCCCGACTAATAATCGTAACTCAGCTAAAGGGAGTGCGAGGGAGATAGATATATAATTTTTGATTGCGTATAACTTTTTAATGAATGGTCCGATTTGAAAAATGTCTTCTACATTTCGATAGGTATAAATATAAACCACAAAATTGCATTTATACTTCTCGGAAATCTTTAAAGATGTGGGCGCAGGACCCATTTTAAAATCTTTAGTGGGCGATTGTGGGCGTTAGAGGGGGCGTGGCGCTCGGCTAAAATAAACTTGCGCTGCGTAGGAATCCAAAGAATATGTGTGGGAAATCTCAACCTTCTAGCTTTTGTAGTTTCTGAGATCTCAGCGTTCATACAGACGGACAGACGGACAGACAGACAGACAGACAGACAGACAGACAGACAGACGGACAGACGGACATGGCTAGATCGACTCGGCTAGTGCCCCTGATCAAGAATATATATACTTTATGGGGTCGGAAACGCTTCCTTCTAGCTGTTACATACTTTTGCACGAATCTAATATACCCTTTTACTCTACGAGTAACGGGTATAATTACTCAAACAACAATAAACTGTACATAATTCTGGTTAATATTTAAATGAAATAATATTTAATTAATTGTAAAAAAGACCATGTTGGTAACATTATTAATTTGATTTTAAAGATACATTTTTAGAAATATTTATATTAAAAGGTCGAGATCTTATATTTAAGGAATTATACTACGAATATTTGAATATGATTTAGGCATTTAAACTGATATAAAATCATTAAACTGAGTATAAAGGTGTACAAACTTTTAAAATATTTAAAAAATGTATACGTTTATTTATAATCAAGATATAAATATTTTTAAAATATTTTACTCTAGAATATTTTACTTTAGAATATAGAATTTAAATTCTAATTTATTCCCCTTTCTTTTTCCCCCTTTGCAGAGTCGACGCAAAGCGTGGACGGCGGACCTGCATCGTGGCGTTTAACGCTCGATCAGGATCTAATTGACACGCTCAAGGGCAACTTTCCCAGCTGGTTCCAGGGCTCAGCAGCCGGCGGAGGAGGAGGAGGAGCAGGATCAGCAACCAGCAAGCAGCATTCGCATTCGCATACGCATACGCACTCGCAGCAGCACAATCATCATCAACTGGCCCAGCAGAAGCATCACCAACTGGTGGCCACCAGTGTCATACCCATAACCATTGACACCAAGCTAGCCGCCAGCAGCAATACAAATACACTCCAGCAACAGCAGACGGTCATCTTGAGCCACAGCTCGTCGTCGTCGGCCTCGCCCGCCTCGTCCGTCAGTTCCAACTCCTCGAAGAAGTCCATCAGCAGCAGCCTGAGCAGCTGCAGCAGCACCAGTAGCAACAGCAGCAGCTGCAGCAACTCCAACTCAAAATCCAGTTCCAGTGGCGCCAAGGGAGCCGGCGGTTCAGCGACGGCGAGCAGGTTCCTCAACAAATCCACCTCGACGTCGCCCACCAAGAGTCTCTCGCGGACCCTTAAGGCCACCACCCATAAGACGACCAACGGCAGCAGCCAGAAGGTCGGCCAGCTGGTCAAGTCCGCCTCGCTGCACAGCCTGAGCAGCGGAAGTAGCGGAAGCAGCGGGAGCAGCAGCGGAAACAGTGCCAGCGGCAGCTCCTCGCTGCTGGCCACCATCTCCACATCGCCGCTGACCACCGTCGAGCTCATCTCGAGCGCCGCCTGCAGTGGCCTCCTGGCCACCAGGCTCAGCGGCAAGGCCTTGCACACCTTTCAGGACATAATACTGCTGCACGAGGCCTACGACGACATGTCGGAGGGTGGGTTAATGATCTGTGATCTAGAGATTAAGGAAAACTGCATTGGAAATATTTAAAAAGAGCTTCTTATTCATTATATTTTGTTACTAGAATAGTGATAAAATTTATTAAATGTAAATTTTTTTTACTGTGAGTTTAATTTGTTAATGTTCTTTTAGTTTGAGATTGGCTACCACATTAGAAATATTTAAACCTACTATATTTTGTTATTTAAAGTAAAGTTTAAGTTGTACATGCTCAGTAAATTGGAGGTCAGGAAAAAAGTATTAGAAATATTTTAAAAGACCTTTTTCTTTCTTATATTTTGTTACTGAATTTTGAATTGAAATTTATTTGATGTCAATGTGTTTTTATTATTTATTATTGTGAGTTTAGTTTGTTCTGTAAATCTTCCAGTGTTGTGAACAAATATTTAATTTTAAGGATTCAAAAATACTTTCTTATTTATTAAATTTTGTTACTAGATTTTGGATTTAAATGTATTTAATGTAAATATTATCTTATTAGTTTATGTGATTCATTTGTTCTTTAAATATTCCAATGTAGTTTTTTCTCTTTTTATTAAATAAACGTTTACTAATATTTTGTATCTTTCGCTTCAGGTGAGCAGCGTTTGCATGCTACGTTTCTGGGCAGCAGCGATGATGGTAACAACTCGGATTGTTACGATGCCAGACAGTCGCCGCCAAAGGCCATTGTGGATTCCAGTCCGCTGCAACCGGCCATGGACAAGAACAAAGAATGTGAGTTGATTGGAAATAGAGTTTATGCTCTAATTGAAATTGGAAACACAATGGCAGGCCTTTTATATTTTTTAATGGAATTTTTTTAGAACATAAATGCAAATATTAGGGAAATCATGGCTTGCATGCAGTTAAAGTTAAACTTTTATTTTCTATATTTTTTCTAAAATATTCTAGGCACTCTTCACTGTTTACCCAAAACCCTTTAGTTGTTAGTTCAGCTCTTGTTTACCCAATGTTTTGCCGCCCACGCTGCTGGCCATCTTTCGGCGGCTGTTTGGCATTTGTCATCTGGTTCTGGTTCCTCCCGCTTAGTCATAAATGCCAGCCACTGCCCATCACGACGATCATCGCCAGAATCATCATCATCGTAATCCTCCCAGGGCCTCTCCACTCTCCACTCATTATTGACGTTCGCCTGGGGGGCAGTGGTCTGCTCTTACATGGCGCACACAGTTTTAATGAAGCTGTCACGGCGCAACAGGCACTTAAGGCGTACACTTGAGGTGCTGCCACGCCCATTAGCTCGTCGAGAACTCATTCAAAAAATGGTTTTTGTATTTTGTCAACAGTTTTCCGTTCCGTTTCGTTCCGTTCTTTTTTGGCTGGCCTACATATTTGCTTGGCATTTTGAGTGAAGAGAAATATTCTTATTAATTTTGAATGGCCAAAGATGACAGACTGGGTCTGTAGTGTATATATATATATATTCTAGAATATATAGAAATATATGGCTGCATAGTCGCTAATAGTTTTGACAGCTCTTGTCGCCTGCACTTGCATGATTTTTAGATTTTAAAGGTCTAACCGGAAATGGACGATAATGTTCATGATGACCCTGACCAAAAAGGCTCTCTAAATGCAAATGCAAATGTAAATCTAAATATTTATGAAAGCAAGGTTTATTTCTCGCCAAAAACTGCCAAAAATGTATGGTGAAAATTTCCGGCAGGCGCTCGAACAAAAGTTATCTAACAAATAAACTGCATATTTAGCAACAACCACCAGTTCTTCCTCTCTGCCTTTCGGCGGTCAGTTGAATTCTCAATTCTCAGGGTGTGTGTAAACAATTTGGTGAAAAAAATTTATTATAAACACATGGCTGGCAGTCAATGATGGCGGCGCTGCAAAAATGTTTTGACAAATAAACACGCTGCACGCGACTCGAAAAGCGCAGAGAAGAGCGGAAATCAACGGAAAGGCAAGGCAAGGCGACAGTTGTAAAGGCATTTTCACATGCCACTCGTTGGGCATTGCATTGGTTTTTGAGATAGGAAATGGTCTTGCATTAATTTTATTTAAGGAATAAATTATTGCCAATTATTGAAAATATTTTTGAAATATACTAAACAGAGATATACACGTTATGTTCCTAAGAAAAATAAAAGACGTATCCCAAATACTTATATCGCATATTGAAAGGAAAAGTCCGATATGATATATCGACAAAAATATCAAACTTATCTTCTTATAGAAAAAATCGTAAAGTTTGATATATCAATATTGTAAATAAAAAAATTTTTACACCTATCGGTAAATATCGATTTTATCGATAATATCGAAAAAGTGTTAAAAAAATGTTATCTCTTTAGTTTAATTTTTTTTATTTGCCGATTATATTGTGTAACCAATTATTTAAATTTTCTGAACAACTAAAACCCAACCCTCATTTCTGAGCACTCCAATCTCATATTTAGCCCACTGTGCCTGCCCCTTGGTTGCCATTTCATGCATTTGCCTAGCCCGGGATGATGGCGTCTTCGTTTAGTCGGAGCAACGTTGATCACGTAATCGATTTTATAATACAACATATAAACACACAGTTAGCCATGTAGAATTGTGGGTGTTCTCCTTCTCTCTCACCCAGTTTTCCCCCGTTCTCCTTCTGGCCAGATTTTAATTTTGCCCGGCAATTGTTTACCTGACCTTCGCCACAGGCACTGGGTTTTCTCGGCGAAGGGCAGCTAACCGCAACAAAATGCCAAGAGGAGAAGGAATTCTATAAGAAACTCGTTGCCCATGTCTACACACATTTATTGCTTTTCGCATAAAACTTTTATGTGTTTAATTTGGAATTTATGTTATTGTTTTTATCAATCGAGTGTGTGGGGAGGAGGTGGGAGGTGTGTTTTGTATCGAGGAGGAAGAGTAAAGGAAAATATTTCGCGCATAATTAATTTACGGGGGCGACAACAGTGTCGTCACCGTGAAGATTTTCCAGTTTTACATGGCCAACGAAAAAAGAATTTGCGTATTTTTCGCTCACTGCCATAAACAAAAACCAGAATTTGTTTTCGGTTATTTTCTTTATTTTCTTACTTTTTGTTTTGGGTGTTTTGCACACACATTTTTGTGTGGCACACTTCAATCGTAAAATCGCCAACAGCTGCCACCGCCGTCGTGTTCGTCTTCTGAGACAATTACGCGCCTTGGCAGCTCTCTGTTGGCTTTTTATGATGATTTCCGACAAAGAGCCCAAATTACTTTAATAACGTCATCGTCACTTTGATGTCGACTTTGTTGTGGCGTCAAGTGTTTTTTGCTGTGTGTCTTTTCGTCTGCCGCCTGGGCATTTTCATTTTCAGCATCGAAAATTAAATACAACGAGGGAAAGGCTTCTACTGGCTGCTAACCCACTTACTTAGATTGCACACTATGTGCACATACAAGCCGCAAAAGTCGAAAGTGCAACATGACCAAAGAGGACAATGCATTTGCATGCACTCTAAAAAAATAAAATAAAAAAGAGAAACTTGATTTTAATAAAAATAAAATATTTAAAATTGATTTTAATAACCTTTCTATACATATAAAACTCTTGCTATCCTTTTTTGCGGGTTTAAAACAGATCTCAAACCATAAAAGCTACAGATTTCAACTTTTTACCAAATATTCTTTCCGTAATATTTATTTGTGCTAAGAAAGGATTTTGGTTTAAGTGACCTCCAACTGCTCCAAAGAAATATGAATATTTTTAAATGCAATAAAAATATTAAAAATAGCTAAATAATTTTTAACACAGAAAACGAAATATTTTACAATTTAACAGAAGGAATTCAAGTGAATTTTCTTTGGTAAAATCAACCCCATAAACAAATGTTTAAGAAATATATAAGAATTTTTCCTCCTACTGCATCTCTGTACATTTCCGGTCTTGAAAGCTCACATTCCTGGCCTTGGTTAGTAACCGCAAAAACACCCAGTGCACTGCCCTCCGGGTGGCTTTTGCTGCCTTTCGAATCGCCGTAGGGGCATAAGATTTTGTGTTTTCATTTCATTTGCGGCTTTGGCTTCGGCTTTATTTACCTCCAGAGTTTCCAGAGTACCCACAGCTTCCGATAGATAGATGAGTTCCGCCCACTTCCGTGTCCTGCGCCTTAATGGGCTTTATTTCGTTTTAATTACATGGCTGGCTGGCCATTTTGTGAATCAATTTCGCCAGTGCTCGGAATGCTAATTGAAGGTAATGATATTAGGCGGACAGCAGGTCGTATGCTTAATATGCCAAAACATTCCCCGGAGACTAAAATGACATTACACACAATGCTTGCACGCATTTAATCGTCCATTTCGGATTTAATGTTGAAAGGATAATGTCCCTATTAATTGATTATTTTATACGTTTGGCGATTATAATTAGAGTGAGAGTATTGTGTTCCTCATCTTTCAAAGTCAATTCGAGGGGCTTAAGAAGAAGTAGGAGGTTCCTTCCTTATTTGCCATTATTTATTTTGCCATCAGTCTGTCACTTTGTCCTTACTGCTCGGCGGCTTCCATTGACTGTGGATGCCAAGTTAATTGACATCAATCTGTTATTTAGCCGCCCGAAGCAGCAGTGGCAATCTAATCAGATTATTACGCATACGCCCCATGGGGCCACACCTTCGTCGGCGTCGCCAACAGACTCCGCTTTTGACTTTGACTTTGGCCCGGCTTAAATATTTAATTTTCCAGCCCCGAACTTTTTACTCTTGGAAAATACATACATATATATTCACACCATAATAGCCCGCACATAAAGATATTAAAAACTTTTCCTTTTTTTTTCGCGCTGCCTTGTTTTTGCCATTCGCAGCTGGCTCTCGACATTTATTGCCATTGCGCCCTGGCATTGTCAAAAGGCTAGGAAAAGGCAAACTTTTCGCCCCAAAAATTATTTCCCCCAGCTGTTTCGAGCACTTTTTTATGGGATTCCTATGTTTGATCTCCTTCGCTGCCCCCCGCAGCGCGTTTTGTTTTATAATTTACGATTTTTGTGGTTTTTGATTTGTTACTAACAAGTTGTGGGGTTTCGTGCAGCTTAACTAACTTTTTTCTGGCAACACCTAACTTGGAGTTCAACAATTATTCAATCAATATCTCTTAAAGTTTAACTAGGCCTAAGTAAATTTACAGCTTAGTTTTATTTAATATTAAAGTTGTTAAAATTATTTTTTATTAAATGTAAATTACCATTTAAAACAATAATCTGGTATGTTGGTATTTTCTGGTAGATTTTCTTAGCAAAATGATATACAAAATTTTTAAATATAAAAAGTCTGCTTAAGAATTCGCGTATAAAATCCGTACATTTCATTACCTCTCTATATCTAAATAAAAAATGTTTCAATACAATTTGTATTATTTTTTCGACATTTCGTTTTGTTTTTCTTTAGTTACTAACATTTAGTGCAGCTTAACTAACTTGCTTCTTTGGTTTTCCATCTTTTTGCAGCGCTCAAAGTGAAGCTCATGGTGCGACGTCCACATTCGCAACTCGTCGAGCAGGGCATCATACCATGTAAGTAGATGCGCGTCCGAAAAGCAGATTTTATTCCTGCCCCCGGGTCACAGCATTTAGCCGCTTAGTCAGATCGATAAAATACACATTAACCTCACTTAGCCGGTTCAGAGCATCTGCTGGCGCCCAATTCATCCATCGGCTGGCTGCCCCAAAAAGGATATGCAAATACTGCCGTCGAACATTTCATTTGAATGGCTTTCAAATTTATGCGCAAAGCAATGGAGAAAAAAAACGAAGCGAAAAGCGAAACCAAGGAAAAGAATCCTGGAAATACGCAAATTTACAAACTAATTCAAAGCCCTCAACGCAGCCGAAAGTGAATTTGAATTTAAATGATAAATTTTGCAGCGATGTCGAAGCGCCAAGAGCGAGGAAAAAGCTGAGCCAACTTTTGGGCACTGGCTCAGAAATACATTTTGTGTAGCCAAATAGTAGGTAGTAGGGTGTTGTTGTCGCTTTGGCTAGGAAATGCATTAAATTTATTAGATGTTGATGAGCGAGTCTGAGAGCGGAAAACTCCTCATGCGGAATGTTTACATATGCCACATTGAGCTAATGGAAATGTTTTGAGTCCTTCAACCACTGAAAGTTGCCAAATAACATTTTAAATCACTTAGAGCGTAACTCGCTTTTTTGTGCTAGTTATAAAACTATAAATAAAATGTAATTAGTATAAAGAACCTGAAGAATTTGCGTTCCTAAATATTTTAAGAAAAATGCTGAAGAATTCGCGTTCTTAAATATTTAAATAAAAATGCTAAAGGATTCGCGTTTATAAATATTTTTATAAAAATGCTAAAGAATTCGCGTTCTTAAATATTTTAACAAAAATGCTGAAGAATTCGCATTTAAAAATATTTATATATTTAATTAATTTTATAGGCTATAAATTTTATTTTTAAATTCAATTTAATTTATAATAATTATATTAATTTAAATGTATTTTTCTTCCACAGCTCTGAAAACCTCGCCCGCTATTCACGAACAATGCAAGCAACTGGAGCGCGCCAAGACGAGCGATCTGCTGAAGGCCAAGATCCAGCAGCGGCCGAATCGCGAGGATCTGGAGAGGCTGCACATCCTGGAGGAGGACGAGTGTCACATCGATCCGAGTTTGGCGGAGAAGCAGCGCATGCTGAAGAAGGCTCGCCTGGCCGATCAACTCAACTCGCAGATCCAGCATCGTCCTGGTCCACTGGAGCTGATCAAGAAGAACATCCTGCACACGGAGAAGCCCATCGAGAAGATCGTCAAGGAGGGACTCGTTTCGTTCAAGGCCACCAGCGAAGGTCTGCTCACGCGGCCCCAGCATCCGCACAGCTATATAACCTTTGATGAGGACTCGCTCAGCTCGGAGAGTGATACGCGGCAGACGCCGCCGCGTTTGGATGAGGCAATGGTGGTGGCCACCAGTGCTGCTCCCTCACCCACCGATGTGCTGCAGGCGGCGGCTGCCTCGGCGGGCATTGTGACGATGGCTTTGACCATGCCCACAGCTGGTCAACTGGTGGTCAGCTCACCGCAAATGCTTCCACAGCCACCGAAGCCAGTGGTGGTGCCTGCACCAGTGCCACCACCTCCGCCGCCGCCACCACCGCTGCCAGTGACTAATTCCGTAATAAAAGTGAAGCAGGAGACGGCCAATCTGTTCGAGGAACTGTGCCAGAGTGTGACGGGCACGCTGAACCACCATCATCAGTACCTGCCCATGCTGGCATCGCCCTGCTCGCTGGCCTCAAGCACCTCTACTCTGAGTCCCCTGTCCTCCATCGCCTCACCGCCACCGCCACCGATGACGAGCAGCAGCACAACACGTTTGCATCTGCAGCCCGTTTCCCTGAAGTCCGATGCTCCCGGGAAGGATAAGAACAGGAAGAAATCCAAGTCGAAGCCGGTGTCCAAGGCGCGAACCATTAAATTCCACGAGTACAAGGGACCACCGAGTGCCGCCGGCCAGAAGCAGGATCAAACGCAGCCGGAGGAGACCTCCTATCAGCTGATGTTGGAGCAGCAGAACTGTCTGCTCAAGTTCCTGGAGAACCTCAACAAGAATCAGTCCATTATACCTCCTCCTCCTCCTCCGACGGCGGCTGCGGGTGTTATGATTCCCACAGCTGGAGCTGGAGGAGTTCCTGGTGCGACGAATAACAACAGCATAACGGTAACCACGAAGACAGTGCCCGCTTTGGCTTCCCAATCCGCTCCAGCGCCGGCGCCCATCAGCCTGCCCAATACGATTTCCATAACGAGCAGTTCGGGCGGAGCTCCTTTAAATTTTGGCGATGCCATGCTGACCACGCCCACGCCGGCGGCTACTCCCACGCCGCCCACGCTGTCGCTGATTGCCACACCGCAGCAGCATCATCAACCGATGGCTGTGCAGCAACAACATCCGCCACCACTGCCCTCGCCGGCGCTTTCGATCAGCTCCTCGATTCCGCCCAGTCCGGCCACCAGCTATGCCGAATCCTCAACGAGTTCGATTACGGATCTAACCCGTCTGGAGAAGATGAAGGTTTCGGATCTGAAGCAGCATCTCAAGCGCAGGAATCTGCCGGTATCGGGACCCAAACCTCATCTTATTGAGCGGCTGAAACCTTATCTTCCTTTGGAGCCACTGGAAAGCAATGTGGTTGCCACTTCTGCATCCAATGCAACAACAGAAGTAATCACCATCAGCGATGCCATGGACACCAGCAACTGTGGTCTGGTGGAGCAGCCGCCGCCGCCGGTTACCATGTTGGTTACCGATGGCATGGAGCACGAGCAGATGGATGTGGTGCAGCAGCAGCAGCAGCTGGATAACACGCATCCCATGACGCTGCAGACCATTCTGCCTCCACAGCCGCAAACGGCCACCATCATACTGACCAACGAGGAGCTGCTGAGGGAGCAGCAGCGCAAGATTGACGAGTTGCAGCGACAGCTGCAGCGATCGCAACAGGAGCTGCAGAAGATTCGCCAGCGGCAGCAGCAGCAGCAGCAGACGGTCACCGCTCAGGTGGTGAATGCTCTGCCCACGCAGCAGATTACTCTTATTACTACCACTTCCAATGGGCCGCAGCAAACGCTGACTGTAATGCCACAGCAACAGCAGCAGCAGGTGGAGAAGAGCATTCCCGCCAAGGTGACGGTTAAGGCTAACAATTCCAGCCATAATAGCCATAAGGTGAATGGTTTGCAACAGCAACAGCAGGGATCCGCAGCCAAGAAGCCAGCCAGCAACGTTTCCTCAACCAATCCGCCGCCCATCAACCAGAAAATGGTGGTCAAGCAGCAGCTGGAGGCCAAAATCCAGAAGCAAAAGGCAGCGGCAGCAGCAGCCGCACAGCAGCAGCAACAGCAGCAGCAACAGCAGCAGGCACTGCAACAGCAACAACAGCAGCAGCAACAGGTGCGCCTGCTCACGCAAAAGACACAAACTGTACTCATTCCATTCAACAACAACAATCACATAAACAACGCTCCTGCCAAAACAACAACAACAACAGCGAAGAAATCCAATGTGCCAGCGAGCAATACAAATACCACGATATTGCAAGCAGCCAAGCCGACGGCGGTGGCGGCAACATCGCAACAACAGCAGCATCACAATAACCTGGGACTGCTGTGGAACGAGGGCAATCAGACCATATTCCTGGTGGGTCTGAACGATCAGCACATGACGGCGCACACGTTGGGCAACATAAGTTTAACGGCCACCACAACAACAGCAGCACCTCAACCTCCTCCACCAGCAACAGCAGCAGCAACAGCAACTCCTGTTGCTCAGCCCAAGAAGCTGCTGAATGGCCACCAACGCACAAACTCCCTGCCCAGCATTGTTTTCCCCATCGAAGCCAAGTCCATCATCACGCAACAGCAGTTGCAACAGATGCAGCAGCAGCAATTCCAGCCTGTCCAACAGCAGCAGCAGCAACTTATCCAAGTGGACATCAAACCCACGCCAGCACCTCCACCGCAGTACGAAGAGGCCACCAAGCAGCTGGCGGCCAGCAAGGCGGCCGCTCTGAATGGCCTCCTGCCGCTGGTGAAGATCAAGGAGGAGCCGGTGCTCTCCCCCGCTCCTGCTGCAGCTCCTCCCCCGCTAAACAAACGCAAGTCGGCGGGCATTAAATCCGAACAGGTCAGCGATGTTCTGGACATACTCATCAAGCAGGGCGAACTGCCTGAGAGTGCCGCTCTGGAGCCCATAACGCCGCTGCCTGAACTAACCATGTTTAATGGCCATGTGGCCACGCCCACAACGGCGGCGGGTGGAGCCAGCATAGTGCCGCTGGTGCCCAAGTTGGAGGCTCCAGCGACGCCTGTCCAAACTCTCGACATGGCCATGGATACGAATGAGCAGCATGTCACCTTCACCACTCAGCAGCAGCCGACGACGAATCATGGTTTTATCGAGAACATAGACATGGGCTCGCCACTGCAGGCGGATTCAAGCGCCATCGATGCGGAGAGCGTGGCCAAGACCTTGGATATATTCCTCGAGCAGCATCATGCCACTCCGCCGCCGAGTACGCCGCCCAAAAGCTGCCACAGCGAGAAGCCCAACAGTCCGGATGCCAAGCTCAATCACTTTGATGAGTACGAGCTGCTCGAGCTGATGTCGCAGCAACTGGAGATGGACATGGGCGACGACTCCAGTGGCTATTGTCATAGTTCGGAGGTTAAGAACAACGGCAGCAGCAATAACAACCTGCGACGCGATCTCAATCCCAGCCTGCAGCCGTCCATCAACGAGCTGCTGGATGCCAGCAGTCCGGACAGCGTGCTGCTGAACAACAACAATCCGGGTGCCGCCGATGTGGACTTCGATGCGGATAGCTTTGTGGCCCAGCTGAGTCAGCATGTCACCGGCGGCGGCGGCAATGGCAATAGTCCCGGGGTTAATGGCTCCCTGGAATCCTCGTCGTCCTCGTCGGCGATGAACGGGCATTTTGGCAGCCATGGCACACCAATGGATTGCGATGATTTCGAGAGCACACTCAACTCTTTCATGCAGGCGGTCACTCAACCGCAGGCGGGACAACACGGCGAATACGCAACGTCGACGGGGATGGTAAATGGAGCAGGAGGAGGAGTAGGAGTAGGAGGAATGGGCGTGGACAATGGGAGCGGCGGCAGTGGAGCAGTGGACGCCTTCAATGCCAGCGGCGATATATTCGATCTGTTCAACATGGACGACTACAAGATGAACTGGGCAGCGGGAGATTTTACTGTCTAATTTTCAAAAACTCACATCTATATATTTCCCCAAACTTTGTTCCGTATCGAAAAAAGAAAAAACAAACACACAATCCAGCGTGGTGCTCACTTTTCTCAAAATATTCCTGAAGAATTCGTTTCGAAGAAAGCAAACACACACAAAACAAAACAAAAATCCTATTTATTTTCTAAATGCATTTAAAACATTTGAACGTCAGTTGAAATTTCGAAACTTTACTATTTCCAAGAAAAACAAAAAACAATGCCAAAATTGCCGGGAGTAACACTCCAAAAAACCATACTTTTGCACCCTTTCCTATATAAGCAAGAAAAACAAAAAGAAAAACCACAAAAAACAGCCAAAACATTTAGAAAAGGATAACAAGTAAAACTTATCATAAACTATCATTAAAACGTAAGCCTAAACAAAACAAAAACCAAACAGAAAATGTTGTAAAGATCGATAAAGAGAGAAAAGCAAAAAACAAAAGTACATGTTTCTAATGAAGGTCATTCCAATTTGAGAATAATGCGAGTGAAATCTAACTAACTAAAACCGAATGGAAGAGAATGAATGAGTTGAGTCCAGGATGATGAGGATCAGGATCAGGATCTGCAGAAAATGAAAAAGAAGGAGAGAAAGCGGCAAAAGGAAAACAGAGAAAATAAGCTAAAGAAAAAATTTATGAAAATCGTAAAAAAAAATTATATTCTTGTTGTGAGAACGACTCTTAAGTGAAACACATTCAGTAATTTTGTTTTAAGTTCTATTTAAAATGAAATGAATTAAATTATTTAAAGCCTACGCAGTGCTTAATTCTAATTCTAAAGCGAAATTAAATTAAATATTTTAAACACAATTTGAGAAGTATTTCCTGCAAGGAAAGAAAAAGCCTTTAAAGTAGTCGAAGCCACAAAACCAGTTAAATTAATATATTTAAACTCTGATCAATTTCATTTTAAATGCTAGCAAAAATATATATTCATATTTTTCTTTTTGTTTTTGCATTCTTAGGCACAGCGAATTCCGTTACTTAAATTAATTCTAAAGAAAATATATTAAAAACAATTAATTTAGCTACTTCGTAAAGAGTATAATTCAATATCCTGCGGCGTGTACTTAACGCACACTTTTTGTAACCGTGTCTAACGCAATTCGGAATTGTAATCGTTCACCTTTTGTATGCATACATATATTCGGCTAAGTGTATTTTGTAAATTGAGAGAGCATGCCAAGCATTCGGACATATTTTTGAGTGTATAGGGCTCAATAAAATAAATTTTAAATGTAATTACTAAGCGAAGGACACATTTCATTAGGAAACAGAAAACCAAAACTAGAGAGAAACCCCAATTCAAAATTGCAAAATGCGAAAGGAACTCAATACACCAATAAATATATATATATATATTTTTGTATAAGCGAATTATATATACTCTACGTTTAGATCTAGTCTAAAATTTCACACATTTCACCCGCAGAGCAAAAGTTAATCATCACTCGACACACTTGTTTACATTTGCAATAATCTGATTTAAACTTGGATTGTAAGCTTAAAGTATACTTATTATCATCGACGCGCTTTAAACACACAAAAAGAGAAACGTTTCCATTATAACAATTCATATATTAATTTAATGAGTACGTTTATTGTTAGTATCAAACTTAATTACCATAACTAAGCTTATTGTTTGATTAATTCTAAATTTAATTACCTAAATATCTAATTTAATATGTTGGCTTGAACAATTTTTGTGCGTTGCGTTTAAAAGAGATTTCATTTAAATACAATACCAGAATAAACTGAATCACGTCATATGAACTATGTGTAATTTTTTTGCAACAAAAAAGGATAAAAGTCTATATAATAAATAATACATGCATACATAACAAGTGATATACCGATATACTTATATATATACGCATATTTAAATATGTTCAAGAACTTAAATAAAAACATTATTCATTTTTCCAAACTCGGACTTGATTTACTTACCAAACTGATTAGCCGAGCTAAACTCACCATCAAATTTTGAACCCGGCGAAGCATAATAAATACGCATTTAAGCGCATTACGCCCCGGCGCAAGATAAATTCCACATTAAAATTAAAATCAATGACAGAATAATACGCAATCATAATGATTTTATGGCAGCCACAACAGCAGAGCATCAACAACATCAACAAAACAAGGCTTATCATTAGCCAAAGCGGCGGCCATTCCTTGATTGGCGGTCCTCGGCCCACCGCCCACTTGACGGGGTGGTTTTTCGGGGGCCACTGCCTGAAATCGAGTTGAGTTGTTTATTTTTAGACCCGAAACGAAATCAGCAAACAATATGACGCAAAATTGCAGCAGCAGTGGCAGCAGCAGCAACAGCAGTTGAGTAGCCATGGCAACAATTGTCGGATATTCCATAGTTGGACGGCTGCCAAGCGTTATGGCTTTACAAGGACGGGAGGAGGACAAGAAAGGAGCTCACAGGACCTCCTGCTGTGCACTGCTGTCCCACACAGAGACTATCTGCTACTGAATATCCTTTGAAAGTGCTCCTGCGGAAGCCCGCTGTCTTTAGCTCGTTTCTTAGAAATTAAAATAGATTTCTATTTGATTGGTGGAACAATAATTTTGCATATTTCTAAGACTCTTCTTCCGAATTTACACAAAGCACCTGGTTTTAATTAACGTTAAAGTATTCTTTTCATTTTTGCCTGGTGTTCAAGGCGTAGAAAAAGTTAAAAGGATTTTTACAGCTAAAATAAAATTTAAAAATGTATTGGAATTTATTTTTTTTTGCTAATAACAACTTCAATAAAATATCATCTGGCAAAATAAATTACTTTAGATTTATATCTTGCTAACATTCAAGGTTATTCCTCCCTCGGCGCTTAACAATATATTTCCCACTTTGTATTTGATGGGAACCTCTGTCTTACTCGGATGCAACTCAAATTTAAAGTTGTGGATAAGAAGAGCCATTCCAACGACCACCTGCATGCGTCCAAATCGCAGACCAATACAGTTTCGGGGACCATCTCCAAAGGGCAAGAAAGTGCAGGCAGGACGCTGTTCCACCTGATCCTCATCGAAACGCTCCGGGATAAACTTCTACGGTTCCGGATAGAACTCGGGATCGTGATGGATGCCCAAAGTGGGAACCAAAACTCCAGTGTCGGTTTCAATGTTATATTTGGGGTTACTATGCACATAGGGTTTCGTGGCAATGCGTACTAAGTGGGCCACCACAGGATGTTTCCGCAGGGTTTCTAGAAAGCGAATTCTTTAGAACATTTTTTATAAGATATTCTAAGATATTAACTCACCATCGATAACCTTTTCCAGATAGATCATCTCTCGCATGCTATCATAGTCCAGTTTACCATTATGCTTCTCCAGCACGGAGTTAACTTCCAATCTCAGTTTATCCTGCACATCCTGATTGCAGGCTAGTTCATAGAGGGCAAAACCCATGGTAGTAGAGCTCGTTTCGAATCCAGCCAAGAAAAATATAAAGGCCTGGGCTGCAATCTCATTGAACGTAAGACCATCCTGCTTATCGCCATTATCGTACTTCAGCTTCATGTCTATCAGCATGTCCATGAAATCGTTTCGAGTAATCTTGTTCTTTACCCTGTAATCGATGGTGTCCTTGACAATATCTATATAGAAATCCTCAACCTCTGGTTTCAAGGTCTTAATGCCCAGTTTGGCGGATAGTTTGGGTGCCCCGAATAGCAGTAGATCCACCAGTCTGCCATGACGACGTTCGCTAATCGCCGAATTGCCCATCCTCACGAACTCCGCCTTGGGATCCCTTAAACTATTGCATTCCAAACCAAAGGCACAAACGCCAATCACATCGGCGGTGAAACGGGAAAGGAGATTTGTGATTTCCAGGGTTTTAGATCCTGAAATCTTCTCATCGAAAACCCGAATAAGTTCATCGCCCACTTTTAAAACCGTGGGAAACATATTCTTCATTTTTCCAGAAGTAAAAGTCGGTGTTAGTTTCTGCCGTAGAGTTCTCCATTTTTGACCCTCAACCGTAGTCAAATTACTGGTCAGCGGATCATCCTTTTCATTGTGGAATATACCACGATCGTGGAACTTGTCAAAGTCCCGAATCAGTACGGTCTTGACAAAATCAATATCGGTGACTACGACGAATTTCTTGGCATACACATAGAATCCCACGAAGGGTCCATCGGTTTTATTCTTGTACTTAAAGTAAGTTCTCTTGAGAATATGCGATAGTTGCATTGTACGCATAAGTTCACTGGTGTTACCAAGCGGAATATTTGGTGGATCGTGAGGAATTCCGCGACGCGACCAATACGAATAGTTTTGGTGCACCCACCAAGCGGCGAGGGTAAGAGCACCGATCAGCAAACCGATTAGAACAAACATTTTGAGAGCACTGAATTCAGTCGACGGGGAATGCGTTGATTATATATGTTGTGATACGAGAGAGCTTTGGACTCTCTAATCTCATAGACGCTCGATTCTGGTTATGTGAATCATTATTCCATGATGAAAACAACGCCAAACAATGTGAAATGTTCAGTTCCTACGGTCTCTATAAACAAGCTCTCTTAAGTAATTCTCTCCAAAATGTTTAACTGTTTACTCTTCTCTCTTTCGCTTTAGAGTGCTAAGGTGATACGGTGAAACTAGCATAATATTAATTTTCTTTGAAATATCATAATATTTTTTGATATATTTTAAATATTTCTTAAAGCAGTTAGATATTTTCTATTAATTTAATCCGGGAATATTAATTTTTATATTTTTTATAAAGACTCATTTTATTTTGAATTTTTTTTATTGATTACGGTTTGATGTAATGAAGCTCCACTGTAGTTTAAAATGTAAACAATACACTAGTTTACCTTGGATATAAATAAATCAAATAAGGCGGAGAAAATAGTTTAGCGTTGCTATTAACAACTTATCAATGGCATATAACAAAGGTCGACTAAAAAATATATTTTTTTGTTTTTATTTAAGAAAAAATATCTGGTAACAAAAATAGCATCATTTTATATGATAGTATAAATATTTTTGATAATTGTTTAAAGATTAAATAACTAAGTATCTTTATAAAGCTTCAGACCGTAGACATAATTCGATTTTCCTTTTCACAATGTTGTTGTCACAATTAAGTCAATAATCACCAATCAAAGTGGTAAAAGCGGCCATTGTTAATCAGCTCTCAGTGACTTCAACTAGTCCTCCATGAGAATGATCCCCCCATTCACTGGTTTAATTAAGGGCTTAAGTATCCGCCCACACAGAGCTCTTTGTGAGAATTAAGCTAAGGTAATCATCTATTGTTTGAAAATTCAATAGCCATTCTGCCAATTGTCATTGAAGGGCTTAAAGTCCTTATTGAATCGATGGCCATACACATACATATTTTCCCCCAATTAAGCTATGCCATTACCTTTAATAACTCGCCTTATATCCATGGCAATTTATGCATCTATTTTGCGTTGTTTTGTTGGTGTTGTGCTTTTTGGCCATTGTTGGCTGGCAGCCACAGCGAAAACAACAGCGTCAACATTCCACAACAGCTGCAATATGTGCCAGCAACAGTTGCCCAGCAAAGCAGAGAACCACCATATCACCCACCGAACCACCCACAGCACCACCCTCGCGAATCCACAACCACCCATTGCGAACTAAATTTATACAACGCTGACTGTAATTTGCGTTATTAAAATGGCGTCAGTTGCTTACCAAAGCGAAAAGTTTCGCCCATCGCCCCCTCATCGTCATCGTAGTCCACAGCAGGTTCTGGTCCTTGGTTCTTCGTTTCTTGGCTCCTTGGTCCTTGTCACAGGAGCCCTCTACTGGTTTTTCCACGCTCGTCTAATTGTGTTTGAGCTGCGCTACAAATAAGGCGTCCTCCGCTGGTCAGTCGAGAAAATTGAGATTTATTTCTGCGAATTTCGGTTTTTAGCCTGGACAAAAATAGGAAATAATTGTAGGAGGAAGAGAGCAGCTGTGCTAGTCTAGCTAGGACTTACGTTGATTTAGGTGTCTATATTATCTCTATTAATTAATGATGTCTTTATTTATATTTATTTTGAATTTACAAAAATATTAAGCAATATTATTTATTTTCTAATTTATCACTTAGCTTATTTAAGTAACTGCTTATTTTAACATTCTTAACATTCTTAATATTAACATTCTTAATATTACATTAAGAATGTAATATTATTATTATTATTTATTTATTATTTATTATTTAGCCTTTAAAGTTCATAATTTAGAACCAAAAATTGTCTTACAATTTCTTACCATTAAATTCTAGTGTGATAATAAAAATAATATTTGTTCTACATTCTTTCTAACATTGTTTTTAATTTATTTTAGCATGAGATAATATTATAGTTATTCAATAGATTTTTTGTTTAAATTTATCATTAAATCTGTTAAAGTTTTCTACCGCTCCCTGTTATATTTTGTAAAAAAACCTCAAGTAAGGTCAGTTCTTATGGACTTATGTCTAAATCCTTTGATCACCGCCCTATAGAGGTTTCCTAAACTGTTCTAGCCGAAGCCCCCAAGGGAGCCACGCAAAGTGCGTACTTCTCCTTGGCTTTTTGCCTTTTGATGTGGCCGACGAGCAACAAGTTGGTCATCATCCTTCAGGGCCATTTCCACTTACCCCTGCCAAAGGACACAGTGACCAACCACCCCACTCACCCCGCCCAATCCATAAGTCAAACTGTTGCTTTCACTTCGGTGGTGTGAACTTTTCACTTTCCTGCCAGCTTTTGCTTTCCCACTGATCGATATCAATTGATTAAGCCACGTTGAGGCATTCGACTTCATTTTTTGTCGCCTTCTTTGATTAACAAAAGGAATTTCCAGCCCAGCTTTCCAGCTTTCTCACAAATTATGACCCACTCGACAGCAATTTCCCGGCACATTATTCAGAGTTAATTACTTTGTCAAATAAAGCGCTTTGAACCACATTGTTCTAGCCCCTTGGCTTTGGTGTGAAAATTCAATTAACTTTGCGCTGTAAATAGGCAAAAATACAGGGCTAGCCGAAAATCTGTCTGGCAAACTATTTGCATTGAACATTCAAACAAAATAACAAAAAGCGGCCAGGACAACGAGGACAACGAGGTCGAAAACGAAAACAATGACTGGCTGTCGCGATTTTTGCGTCATTTACTCAAGTTTATGCCAAGACCACTTGTCGTCCTCGCAAATTGTTCTAATTAAGAAGACCAAGTTGGCGACGAAGTTGGCCCTAAACTGGCGAGGAGCGGGGTGTTCGGGCAGGTAAAATGCCAAATTAAAATCGTAATGAAGCACTTAAGTTGTGTTTTCTTAGACCTTTCCTGATGCCCTCACAAGAGGAACTTCGAAATTATTAGGGAATTTTGAGAATACTTATAGAAATTGGAATAGAGGAAAATATTTTATAGTTGATTACTTTTCCTCAAAAGTTTTTTATTTTGAATGTGGACAGTTAGACATTCAATCTTCATTGGTTTTATTTTTTTAATAATTTTTCAAGGTATATACATATTTATAAAAATATATTATAGTTAATATATAGTAATATAATTATAGTAATATAATAAAGATTATTTTGATTTTATGTCTTATGTATTTTTAAATATAATCATATTTATAGGTTTCCCTACGAAAGAGTATTAGAAACTCAGCTAAAACAAGTTGATGACATCCAGTATTTGGTTCCTCTTAATTCAGCCATCTTGGTTGTTGGCGAGCGAGGATTTGAGATTCAAGTGGCCCCGGCATTAGCGTCAAGTGCTCGGCTGTCTTTCTTAGGGCTTCCACATAATTAAGTTGTAGCCATTGAAAGTGGGCAAAGGATTATGCCTGGTCCTTGGTCCTGGGTCCTCAGTCGTCGGTCCCCGGCACTCAGTCGTTGGTCCTGCTGCCCTTGGTCCTTTGGCACTTTTCCCTCCTGGCTGGCCCTGTCGCCATTAATTGAGTGTCATGGCGAATGCAAAATAAGCTTACGCATTTAGTTGACATAACCGTCAGGGATAAACTTCCAGCTGGTCATTCAATCCAACTCAATGGCAGTTGCACTTGCAGTTGGCCATCGCAAAATACATTTTTAAGCCAATCTAATGGCAGGCAATTAGCTGGGTTTTTATACCCTTGCAGAGGGTATTATGATTTCAGTCAGAAGTTTGCAACGCAGTGAAGGAGATGTCTCCGACCCCATAAAGTATATATATTCTTGATCAGCATCACAAGACGAGTCGATCTAGCCATGTCCGTCTGTCCGTCTGTCCGTCCGTCTGTCCGTCTGTCTGTCTGTCCGTCTGTCCGTCTGTCCGTCTGTCCGTCTGTCTGTTTCTACGCAAACTAGTCTCTCAGTTTTTGAGCTATCGGGACGAAACTTTCGCAAAAGTCTTCTTTCTATTGCAGGTAGTATATATGTCGGAGCCGACCGGATCGGACAACTATATCTTATAGCTCCCATAGGAAGGATCGGAAGAAAAAAACTTTAAAAAATTCTAGCTTCGGTGTTTTTTGAAATATTACCTTCTACTTTTGGGGATGTTATTTTTTAAATATTCCTGAATTTCGAATTAATTATTTAAAAAATCGGACACTATATCATATAGCTGCCATAGGAACGATCGGAAAATTAATGGAAAAGTAATAGGAAATAAATTCTAGCTTCTTTGGTTTTTATTGTATTATCTTCTACTCTAGGATATAACTCTTTTTAAATATTTCCGAATTTCAATTTTAATTTGATCAAAATCGGACGACTATATCATATAGCTGCCATAGGAACGATCGGAAAATTAATGAGAAATATTAGAAAATTGAACATTTTTGCGATTTGTTAATTAATAGGAATGATCTGCAAGGGTATATAAGCTTCGGCTGGCCGAAGCTAGCTTCCTTTCTTGTTTTTCTTTTTTTCTTAGCTCAAAGCAGATGTTATGGGTCATAAATTCTCTCATTGAGACGTGGGTGTTTTACGTGGGAATTTTTTTCATCATAGTTATATATAATTCATTTGCTAGCAAATGGGTTTTAATAAAAGAGTTGTAATTTTTCTGAGGATTAAAAAGTTTAAGGACTTTAAGATGAAATCAGAAAGATTGTTATTGTGGACACTCTAAAACCTATAGATACAAAGTTGAAATTTAAAATTATGCATAGCTCAAACCAATAAATCTAAATATTCCAACTAATTAGGGGACACTTTTAGATGATTATTACTTATAATATCAATTAAGTTAATTAATTTAAATATTAAAAAAACTATCAATTACCAAATACTTAAAGGTATAAATATTGATTTAGGAAAATATTTTCACAACTAAAATAGACTTTAAAACGTAAACATATATAGAAGCTTTAAAGTGTTCAATGCTAAGCCCCCAATAATAGGCTACAAATCGTGCATTCCTCCCATGACTGACTGATATATCTCGAAGTCAGGAGCCTGGGGCCTCGAGCAAGGCGGTCCATCTGGTTTTTTGGTCATCGATCCAACCTCGTCGCAAACCCTGACCCCTAACCCCGGACCCCCTGTCTCACCGCCTGACCGTGGGTCAATATTGGTTTGCTTTACTGCGCTCGGTTTGATTTTGTTTGCTCTTGGCTGCGAGCGTGCGGAGCGAAAACTTTGGCCGCAAGACTCTCACACGCGCTGGCTGCTCGCCGAGAATCCCCGAGAATGTGTGCAAATGTCGGGGATATTCCGTGGTTAAACAAAAGCATTTGCATGAAAATGTTTTACTTTTACTTGGAGTTTTCCTGTGTGTGACGAGGGCAAACGGAGGGGAAAACAGGGGGCTCGCTTTTGCTTTGTTTGCTTTATGTTTTTTGTTTTTTTCCCCTCTGTTGTGCAGTGCTAATTGAAGCGGATTCTTTGGAGAGCCCCTCACCAGTTGAAATAACGTCGCCTGTAAAATGAAAAACTTAATCTGAAAAAATCAATCTGCAATAAAAATAAAATTAAGGCGAACGACGGAAGGCTCGGCCATATAAAAAAAAAGTTGAGGAGAAGGAGAAACTGGAGATGGAGACACAGAAACACATAAAGAAGAGCCGAGAAAAATGGACGCACGCACAGGACCTGGCGAAGGACCCTTGGCCGAAAGGCAAAAGGTGTGCGTCAGGATTACGCGGCATTTCACCATTTCAGCATTTCAGTGAGCAGCGAACGGCGAGGGTCCAAAGGATATTCATAAATAAATATCTGCAGGCATACAAATTGATAAGCTGGCAGCCAGGTCCCGGCCTAAGCCCCCCAATACCAGGCCCCGAATACCCAGACCCTGGCATCTTAATCGACAGACGCTGCATACCTTTTCGATGGGCCTGCGAAATCGCCAGTCAACCTCCCGACTTCGACATGGAGTGGGTTGGGATGGGGATTCTCGAACAGGTCCAAACCAAACATCCCCCGATGACTGGCTGGCTAACAGGTAACATTGGCTACACTCGCAAAAAAATTAAAAATAAATATTATTTAAATAAAAGAATATTACAGAAAAAAAGTCAAAAATCTTTTTATATAATATGCACTTTAGATGGCGTATCCTATTCGATCTAAAAAAGTTTTTTAAAAAATACGTAAAAGCCGAAAATGTTATAAGATTTTTTAAATCATACTTAAAATAAATATAATGTCTGTATCAAATATATATGTAATTAATTGTTTTCTTATTGTTATTTTCCCATTATAAACATTTTTAAATCCATTTTAAAATATATAAAATATTATCAAAAATAAATGATTTAAGCTCTCATCCTTAAAATTATTTTTTAAATAAAAAAATTACTTTTAATCAGTTTTTAAAATTATCTTTTTATGTAGGTGTAAATATGTGATATGTTATAAAGGAAAATTTTTTTTGTTTGTAAACCGTTTATTTAGTGTTTTTAATGATTTTTTTTTAAGTCCATCAGTGAGCGCCTCCTTTTGCAGCATTCTAATGCCGTTCGTCCTTCAACAGGCGCTGCTCCTTTCACACGCAACGCCCCTTATTTTCCCTTTTTCCTCCGCGCATTGGCACATTTTCCTTTCAGCTGCCTCCTCAGCTGTTTTTTTTTTCGCAGCTCCCTTTTTCCACTTTTCTTGGGGGCCCATTGAATTTTATTGTGCGCTCAAATTGTTTTGGTATTCAAGCTTAAAGCACGCGACTGCTTCTATGTGGTTGGCCGCTCCTGCCGCTTCCGCTGCTCCTGCTCCTTCAGATCCTTTGGCTCCTTGTGCTTCTGTTTTTTTCCCTGCTGCTGCAGGTCCTGCGAGTTACGACTGTGTGCGTTTTTGGTGGTGTGCGTGCGATGTTTTCATCGTCCTCGGCGATGTTCTCCTGCCTTCCAGCGTATCCTGTTGCTTGTGAAACGCAACCAGTTGAACATTCCCACTTCCAGCTGGACTCTCTGGGCCTCGGCTTCTCCTTCGGCTTTCAATGTCGCTGGCTCTCGCGGTGAAAGGCTTTCTCTTCTTTGTCTGCTCTCTCTCTGTGTTTTATTCGGCTGTTGCTTGGCACATGTTTAACGCGCAATTATTTTGGTCCTGTTGCGCTTTTTCCCAGCGTCTGTGTGCCAGTATGGGTGGCTGGCTTGGCTTAGTTTGTATTCAGACAAAGTCAACTCCAAGTTGCTAAAATAACGCAATTAATTCTGTTATTGAGCACTCTAAAATACACGCAATTTTGGTTTTTTATAAAGTTTCTTTGATTTTTAATTTTGTAGATTTATTTTGAAGTACTCTAAATATTTTTAACATTATTTATTCGATTTTCATTATCTAAGATATATGTTAAACCATTTAAAGCATTTTTTAAGTGACTTGTGAAATTTTAAGAATTTAATTTTTGCTTTCTCCGAACAATTTATGTTTGCTTGGAAATATAAAAGAAGTTTTAATGTTTTAAAAAAGTCTCTTTTATTATCTTTAAGGTTTTCATATATTTATTAATTTTTAAATAAATTGTTTTTCCCCTGTTTTTTAAGTAAAAAAAAAAAAAATTCGAAAAAAACACTGATGATACTAATTAAAAAATAATCTTAACAAAAAAAAAAAGATTTTAAAACATTTTTTACAAATAAATGTTTTTTTTACAAATAAATGTTTTATTTCTTTAAATATTGTGATTTTTTCCAATTTTTTTCTTAGTTTTAGAGATTCATCTTTTATCTTTCAAATACCCCAAAATATCATCTTCACCGACAACTCCATCGACATCATGATGGCCATCAGCATCATGGCTGGGCATGCAACAATTATGAAAAGTCTCCACTCGTTCGCATTTGTCCGCTCGTGTAGACATCGGTGGCTGCTGCTGTTTCCATAGCCGAGTGTTTTTCGGTGGATAGAGAGCGCGCACCTTATAGCTGGTGTGTGCGTGGGCGGTGGGGGGCGGGGCATGGATGTGCCTGCATCCGCATCCAGGGAAATCGCTTAGCTGTTGCTTTCGTGTGCGACTTGGCAAGGTGGAAATTGATATTACTTTTTAATGCTGGGCCAGCTGGTGGCAGGACTTCCAGTGAGCGAAAGGGAGGGGTGTATGCCATCAACGGCGAGTGCGAGAGAGAGGCAGAGAAAGAGAGAGGGAGAGAGAACACAGAGCCTTCGGCTCGAAGGACCAAAAGTGCCAGCCTCGTCACAGTTCGAGTTGAGCCGTCTCGCGAGCAGGACACCAAACGCGGAGGCTGACATATCCCGATATCCTGTGTGGCCAGGAGAACTTGGGCACCAGAACCAGGAACCCAGGCTATAGAAACCATAGCTTCTGCTCCAACTTTCTTTCCCCCGGCCAAGGTGTGTGCGTGTGCGCGAGTGTGGCGGTGTGCGTGGCGTGTGTGTGTGTCCCTCTGTGCGTGTCTGTGTTGGCCAAACAAAAGCCAAAATAAGTGACGAATAAATTTAACACAAAAAAAAAACAGAGCCACCTGAAAATATATACATTTCCCCGTAGAAAATATTACAAATACTTTAAATCAGAAAAATCATATTGTTTAGCAGGTGAGTTAAATCAGTGTGTGTGTTTTGAAAACGGTGTTGTTATGAAAGGACTCGCGTGGCAGGCTAGCAAATAGTTTAATTTCCGGTCTGGCCATCAGGCGCACATCCGGTTTCAGTTTTATTTCCGTCTGTGCTGGGTGTTCATTCACATGTGCCAGGATATAGGCTAAAAGTTCTTAAACTCATTTTTATAAAATAGAAAAAGGATTTTTAAAGTGGATATTTTAATTGTTAAATTAGAAAACGATTATCAAGAATGAAAATCATCATCTTAAATTTATATAATTAAATAAGAAAGGATTTTTAAAGCTGAAATTTCTATGCTAAAAATAAAAAGATAATTAAATCCCACTGCTTTCTGTAATAGTAGAGTAAATTACAGCCATCATAAGCTAAAATTAAATACATATAAAAGCCATTGAAGGCTTAGCGATTTTTCAAAACCTTGATTTTGTTATTGAAAACTTTTTAAGTGCTGTTATGGAAAAGTTTTTGCAAAAAATCTAAAAATGGCCACCAAAAGCCAGTGCTTAAATTTTCTAAAATACCATTACTCCAAATGTATTGATTCATGTTGGGGGCCACCACCCCCTCCCATTTCAGTCAATTCCAAATGTATTAACCAGGCTTATGTCTTAGCCCTCAGGGGCTTAGAGAAAAGACGGCAGGCCCAACACCTTGCAGGCTGCGAAATAAAACAACTTAATGAAGCAAGAAATTGAAAACATTATCAAGGCGATTAATTATTGATACTTTGATGTTCCCGGGCCCCCGTCTAATTAATTTATAATTAAGTTAAGCAGCTGCCCGGGGGCCTTCTTATATTTCCTGTGGCTGAGCTTTAAGTTCGGAATAAGGATAGGGATAAATATATAGAGCATCTTTAAGCTGTCTCCGGCACCTGGCTAAGCTATATTCCCTTCGATTGAGACTTTATGAACGTGACCCGCCTGCCATATCGATGGCAATCAGTTTGAGTTTGAGTTTGGGTTTTGGGTGAGGGGACTGGCTAATGCCTCCTCCTTTTTGGCCAGCCAACTGTCATTACTCTTGGCCCTAAGCCCTGCCAAAGTTTTCTGAGCCCGAATACCCAGTACCCCAAAAAAACCCTCTGCACTTTATTTTATACCTGCCTTTCGCTTTTCGCCTTTCCAGTCTGGTCGAGGTCTGCTCCCGAGTGCTTTTATTACGCCATTTTAATTTAGATTCCTATCAATCAGTAATAAGCATTTTGTCCACCCGCACAGACAGAAACAAAAGCGTAAAAAAGCGAAAAGATATTAGCCATTAAGGTCAAAGGCATTAGCTTAATATCCGCTTGATTTTTATTACAAAAACTTCATTTTATCGCACTTCGCCATTGAGTGGGCAGGGCAAAAATTAAATTTTTCTGAACATTTCATAGTCAAGATAATCAAGTAATTTTCCCTTAGTTCTCAGAATTCACTCAATATTTAAAATGTTTATTAAACAGAAGTTATTCTGTGATTAGATTATATATCATTGATTTTATTAATTAAGTTTCATGCGTATAATTGAATTTTACTTTTTTATCCTCTTGCACTTTAGTTTTTCATTCAATTTATTGTCAATTTTCATTATTTTCACTGTTATTAGAATAAATATATTACAGTCCGCATTATTCATTAAATGACAGTGTCTTAATTGATTTAGAAAATGTAATCAAAATTAATGTTATTGTTGATAGAAATAGTTTTTTCCCTGGTGGCTAAAAGCAATTAGTAAATCATTTTAATGGCAAATTGTCCTATAACTAATTCAATATTTTCTAAATTTTAAAAATTAAATGTCATTAAAAATTTATAAAATAAATAAACAAAACTAAATAAATAAAATAATAACCAAAAGATTTAACCTGAACAATATTTTCCAATTTAAATAAGCAATGCCACGTCAGTAGATATTGCTTTTCCATTCCTGAGTAAAAAGTCACTGCAATATATTAATAATTACAAAACTTTGCATCAATTAAATATCACTCATATAACAGAGCATAAAAACTAGTTTTACCATCGGCAGGTTAAAAGTCAATCCTATATTTTACAAATTCATTTGATTGTCTTTACAAGACTACCAATTTGTATTGATATTTTCGAACTGTTTTTGGGCAAAAGTTTTTTATGGGATTCGAAGGGAGTAAACAAAGTTGTTTAGTTTTCCTGTTTTCCTGCGGATATGCAAATCAAGCGGCAAAACTCATTTCAGATTCCACACAAAATCGCCCAGAAAAGTTAGCCAAAACAACAACAAATATACTAGGGAAAACTGGCAAAGAAAAAAGAAAACTCATTCGGATCGTTTGCATAAATTTGCGTCTTATTTTGTTGGCAATTTATATGCGCAGCCGAGTGACACACGCATTTTAATTGAAAGCAAATAAAAGACTCTATAATACATAATATGACAAGCCATAATCCTGACAGCAACAGTTATGCATGCTGACAGCTCGCAGCGGAAAATGTGGGCCAAAAAGTGGGGGAAAAGCCGGAAAATGGACAGCAGGCAAATGCTGACAGGCTGGCCAACCCAGTGAACTTAATGGCATTTTAAACAACTGAACGTTGCTGGCCAGCATTTCCCTTTTACCCCTTAAAATGTATTCATTAATGTTCCGTCTCCAAAGTCAAAATGTTTAAAATGTTGAACACGCACACGGGGCATTACACATACGCCATGGGTTCCCCGTTGCGCCACAAAAAAGGATTAAGCCCTTTGTTTTTTGGGCTCTGCTTAGCCGCCTTTGGCTTATTCTGGTTTCTGGTTGCGCTTTAATCAAAAGCAAAAATTAATTAACTTTATTCCCGACTCCCGTTTGGCTTTATTTCGCTTGTGTGTAGTGAATAATGAACGATTCCCGGATTGTGCGAGATGCAAAATACCAAATTGCCGCTTCATTTGCACAACAATTTTTAATAAAGCAGCGCAGCAGCAAAGTGAGCGAATTTTTTCCCGTTTTCCGACCGGGTTTTTCCGGACGCAAACAAGCGGAGGGCACCAAAAAAAAGAGAAAAGCGAAACTCCGGGCCAAAGATAAAAAACGCGTAAACAAATAACCGACATAAAGCCCATAAAGTGAATGATGCTGGCCACAGGCGCAAATATTTATTTTACATTTTTAAATAAGTCGCTCACATTTGTTGTATTTGGCTTTATGCCGACATCATCCCATTTTATAAGAACAGAAAAAATACTGGTGCAGGCGAAAAAAATACATAAATTTTAAAGCTCATATTTACAAGGTTCTTATCTGATTTAATATATTTACTCACTAAACGAATTCCTTGTGATAAGAGCAAACAATCTCTGTTGATCCCATTTATAAATTCAATGCCCTTTTTTATTAAAAAGAAAGAAACTATTAAATGTGTTTACATATAATACAAATATTTGTGTAACCTTTAAAAAAACATTTTCCTTTTCCTTTAAAAATATTACTTAATTCTTCGATGCTAAATATAAATTAGCTTACTTCATAAAAATATAAATACAGATATTGCAAAGGTGATGGCATGGAAATAGTTATTTTTAAATCACTTTAAAAGGTCAAATTAGGTGTCTAAAAGTATGCATTCAAAATTCATTCTACTTTTGAGTGTATTTTTTGACATTTTAAAGTGATTTCAAAGAATTTAAGCTTTCTCCTTTCAAATATATCAAATAATTTCTAATCTAAAAACAACAATTTTTTTTAACAGTGCATAATACTATGTATAGCTTGCAGTGGGGAATGTAATTAATTGAATTTCGTTGGCATGTCCACTCATCACGGAAGTCAGGAGGGCTTCCATTTTTTTCATTCGCTTCCTTTTCGTTTGTTACGCATGCAAAAATGTGCAAAGTGCAGGTTTATGTGGAACAAAAAAAATCGGAAAGGGTTCTAAGTGGAAGGAGTAGAAGGATAAGGGCATTGGGTGGGAAAATTCCAACCTATACCCCACAAATTTTCACACACTTTTCCACCCACTCAGGATGCTGTCATGCATTCGCAATCGCTCCACTCCGTTCACTTGTCGTTTGCACACACACACTTCTCTTCCTCTATTTACTTTCTGCGGCTCGACGAATTCTCAATTAAAATGTTTACCCACAGTTCTGAAAACGAAAGCAGCAGTTTGGAGCACAGCTCTTGTTCACTGGTAATTTGCATATGTGGATGCGTGACTCTGTGTCCCGAAAATACAATTTCTCGTTAAGGTTCCCGTACTATATAGTATAGTATATATAAAAAGCAACTATCCAACGGGGTGAAAACGGGTTGAAAAAAGTGTGTTTGGCTGGCAGAAATAAATTACACTTTTTCGCTCGCTTTTTAATCCGGAAAATGTTGAATTATTCCCGGGAAATAAAGTGAACTTTGAGTGAATTAAAGTCAGCTTTGACGTAAATTACTTTTATGTCTTGTAGCTTTAATAGGATTTCGAAATTTTGGGGAGAGACCATAATAAATTATATTAAAGTTTGAGTTAGTTGGAGGATTTTGTCAGATTCAGAAAATAATTTACATATTTAGTTATCAAGTTTTCACTTTTCAATTGTTTGGTCCGAAAAAATTCTTTACTTGAGACATTATTTTATTATTTATTATTTAATTAAATCATTTCTTTACCTTAGAAATTTAATTATATCGTTCCAAAAAGAATAATTTACCTTTCTCTTCCTCCTAGACATTATTTTATTTGACAGTCTAATTTAGATAATTCTCCCTGTGAGCTTAAGAAATCCTAAGGGATCCGCCCACTTGTCTTAACTTGGCCAAATCGCCGCAACACAGAGACAGTGACAAAATGCTACAAATTTTACAATTTCCTTGTGCCATTTAAAGTCTCATTCTGGATCTACGTTGTCCGCCGGCTGTTGGCGTTGTCATTACCGTAACGCGGACTATCCTTAATATCCGGCCCACACAAAAAACCTGAAGAACTGAAGACGAGGAGGAGGTGAAGGAGGGTCGAAGGACCAAGGACTAGGGAATAGGGATA